GGTTCAGGCAAGAAGTCAATCACACTGAGTCAGTCTGAAGAAAAACATTTTATGCTGTTTTTCTCATACACTCCCCCTCCTGCCGTAATCTGCAGTAAGGCCCAGCCACAGGAAATTGACCTCACAGTAAATTCTTTACAGATTCGGTCATGTTTTTACCATCCACTTAAACTTGCATACATAACCTGAGACTGTACCTCTGGATCAAGGAATATGACAAGCCAAAATAAAATCAAGTCAAATTAAATAGCAAGAAAAAGCTGCAAGCAAAACAAGACTGAAAAAAAAAAAAGTAGAAAAAGATGAAAAATTGGTTGTGACTGCAAAACTGTAAGTATTAAATAAAGAAAGAAGTCAGCAGCAAATTCAGAAGCGCCTGTATTCTGGTTGACAAGGGCTGAGAAATACTAATGGACTTTTTTAATGGGTGATTTGATGGATGAGAGAAGAAATTATGTAAAAGTAAACGTAGTAGTGGATCAACAGAAAGTATTCTGAGGGGTCAAGGCGGCGAGCCCGCCTCCCGTGTTTGGAATTGTTGTGTACAAACATGTTGTCTGAGACAGCCAGCACGTGGCCATCCACATTGACTGTTGTTGATACAACAACCTGAAACAGAAAACAAGAGCCAAAATTGAAATAACCCCACACATTTTCAGAAACACAGACGCAGAATCAGATCTTTTTTTTCAAGACAAAACAACATCGCCGCCTGTTACTTCGCTCTTTAAAGGGAGTGAATGGCAGCTATGAATACATCTTTGTTTATGTGGCGAACGCTGGTGATTTTTAACTCACTATTGTTTCTCTTCAGAACCTGCTACACTAATTAGAGTTTAATCTCCTATTATGCTAACAAATGAATTCAATTCAGGGAAATATTCTTCTAGCCATTAGTTTCAGAAACACCCCTCTAGCCACTCATTTTAAAAGCTGCTGTTTTGATTGATCTGTTGATATATTGATTAGATAGTTTATCTAATTAAAATTTGTCCACTTGAGACTGTCTTCAAATGAAGGGTTGTGAGGATTCCAAATAAAAAAAGCTTAATAAATCAGGAACCAACGTAACTCCCCATTTTTTCTTCAGTAAATGATCTCCAGGTCAGTTTTACAATTACATTTAATGTCTGATAATGAACTTTTTTGCATCTGAAAAGACCGAGTTGAATATGAATAGTGAAAGTGTTTTCAATCCATGAAAAGTATCCCTTCTCAAGTTCATTTGGATGGTGATTGACCCTGGTATGTCAATGGAATTTCCTCCTTTATTTTTGAGTGAAAGGCTCCTATTCTTGTGTCCAGGTTCAGAGTCCGGCCATAGAAGAGATGATGGATAGGGCCTTCTTTGGCTTCCAGCTGCTTCTCGGTAGAAAATGGAAACGGAACATATGCAAAACGCACAACCTTCCCGATAAAAACACCTCCACAATGGAGCTGCAAAACTCCTTCCGGAAGCGATATCGCGTGAACACAAGCCAAAGAGGAAACCGCGAGGTGCGCCCGTGTTTGTGTGGAACACGGCTTCAGAGGTCGATCGCTATTAGCGCGGATAGACGTTTACATCTTATTTAAATATTCCAGCATGGGCCCTGTGGTGTGGGTTCCAGATTTTGTAAACAAAGTAATCACTGCAGCGTTTTCTTTGGGGTTTAACGCTAGTAGAGTCCTTAAAGTCAATGGCGAAGTTAGGCCTTATCAACCATACTGGTGACGGCAGCAACGGCTAGTACAGATTTCAGCTTTCATCTTCCTTTTCTTTTACTTTTGGGTATAACAGATACGATTGCCAGGGTTCTCCCACCAGCTCCTTTACCCAAACACACAATGAACAAAAATGGAAGGAGAAAAACTAGCCTCCTTTTGCGCAGAGCTGGTCCAAGGCATCAGAAGAAAATTCTTGTCTGCTTCTGTGTTTGGGATCACCTCTGATCCTGTTTCTTATTCACAATCCATAATTAGCTTTCAGCTATCACAGCACCTTTTCTGTGTATCCTGCCTCCTCTGAGACAGCCATCTGCGGTACCCTTTAGAACAGCCCGAGGGCAGTTCTCCGCCAGGCTGCTCTGCTTCCCCAGCTTTGTCCTCCCAGAAGTGGACATTTTCACTCTTCTCAGCATCCACTATGGAGAGCGCTGAGGTTGCACGCTCACCCCAGCCGCAGAGCTGCTGCCAGGCCACTGGGCTAGCTGCTTTCACTTTTAATGAGATTCGCAGACTTTAAAAAAAAAGGCAAAACATACAAGTGCAATTTTCAGCAAAGATTTCTGGATTTGGTTCCTAGAACACGGTATATTAAAAAGACAGAGTAAGGTGTATATAAAAATGACAACTAGTTTTGTTCTGTCATGTATATATAGGTCAGTCACCAAGGGAAAATACTGTAGTTCAGCAAAAGAAAGTAGACATGCTACACTTTGTTAGATCGGCTTATTCCTGCAGTGCACCTAAAGGAAGGTGCTGAGACAGTGAAACCAGTTAAAAATGCTGTTCGAGATCTGACATACTGTTAAGTTCAGTGAAACCTTCTGAGAGGCAGGGAGCTTAGCTAAAGAGACCCAGGGAAGTCTTTCTAGTGCCTACTGGCTCCACTGTCGACCACAAGATCACTCACGACTGCTGCTGCATTTAGTCATCGGTGGGACAAAGAGGGCATCTCCACTCATCCCAGGTTTGACCTTCTGTTCTGTTCAGATGGATCAATATCATCAATGCCACGTGAAGCTGAGATGCATGAAAAATGGAAGCTTGGCTCAATTGTTTTGAAGAAATATTTTTTCCAGCTACAGATCTTTTCTGTTGGCTGGCTCAAGGGTGCTGGCTTCGCCGGTTGGTTGGCTGTGCATGAAAACAGATGTCACATGTTTTGCTATCGAGTTTAACCACAAGTTATTCTCCTCAAAAATAAGAAAGTTTTGAACATCTCAATACTGGTTTATTATTAGTCTCAAATAGGAATAATTGTGAAATATTTTGAAACGGAAAGCATATATTTCCTAACAAGCATTTCAAATGACCCCCAATACGGAGGAAATTATTTGTCCTTCACATCAGCTGTCTCTCTGTAGTGTTACGATTCACCACAGGATACATCTATCAAAAGCTGTAAGGAGAAAGTGAAGTATTACACATTTTTGCACACAACTGGAATAAACATATGTGGGTTGGACCACCAATGCTCAGTTTACAAGTTGTAAATATGAAAAAACCCTGTGTGAGATCCAAACTTCACTGGGCTCCGTGGTCATGTCTGTTAGTAAGATTACTCAGTCTACATGTGTAAAACCTCTGCAGGTCTGAGCACAGGCCACACTACAACACAAGGTGTTAGTATGAAGGAAAACTGCAGGAATACTTTCCGAGGAGAGACCCACTTTGTTCAGCACTGATCCATCAGAGCCCACTGCAGAATCCGCGAGTCCCAGCAACCAGCATTTAAATTATTGGGGAAATGCAAAATACCAACAGCGGCTTTTTTAAAGGCAGGCAGCATTGGAACTACACTAAGTAGAAGCACTGATACCGGTTCAAGAACTAAAAAAATTTCAAGATGAAGATGAGAGGAAGTCTTTTATATATCTTTTATTCTTTAAGAGGGATCTGTACCTGGAATCTTCGCATGTCTCGCGGGTTGCCTGCATTCTTCAAACAGTTCTGATTGCACTTGAGGAAAAACTTTAGAAAGAATCTATAAAAATACAAAATTGAAATCTATTAGATTCATCAAAATGTAAATCCAATTTTTAAAAAGTTTAATAAAATTTAATCATGAATAGTTATACCCAAAAGAATACTGGTAGTGAAATATTACTTTCCTATTAGTTAATGAACTTACTTTAAAGCATAAGGTCTCTGTCGTAAACAGAACATTATTGCCAGCAAAAGGCAAATTTATATTTTTAATTTTTCAACAACTATGAATGTATTGACTCCAGGCCATATCCTTAGCTCAGTGTGGGAAAGTTGATTTCAATGACTCATTGACTTCAAAGGCAAAGACTTACACCAGATGAGAATTTGTCTCTATTTTTTTAATACGTTTTATTTTTTCACAACTTATATTAGCAGTAATGACCTCTATGTCCAAAAATTCCAAGGTAATGAATGATCAATCTTCTGAAAAACATTTGGCTTTGCCTCTGGTTTGGAAACTTTCGCTATTCAAAGGGACTCGATCCAACTTCTGCTGACTCCAGGGAGATCCAGGCAGGATCTGCCCACAGGCAAGGCCCCGGTTCCCTCATTGTTTTTGAAAGCAAAGGAACATGGCAAATTAGGCCCTGTCTTATGACCTCTTCAACCTTTGCCAGCCTTTAACTGTGAGGAGTCACTCTACCTGGGGATGGAAATCCAGCTCATTTTCGCTGAGCGGCAACCAGCAATTATTTCGGACTAACCCTTCTCATCTAAGCATCTCCCCATAAACGGATTTTGTAGCAACGAAGCCTCCTGGGAACATAGCGAGCACTTCTAGGAAGGGGAAAAGCTTGGGAAGGTGCAAACTCCTTTCTGCCACCCTCCTATGCTGGAGGAACGAAGTGATACGGGATGCCTCCACCTCGCAGGCTACGCAAGACGTATGGACCCTAACCGTCCTGCCCTCAGGCAGGAGGATGATCACAGCCGAAAGCCTCCTCTTTACGTAGCTGTGTTTTCATGTTTCATAGTTTAAAAAATGATCTATGGGTCTGATTTTTGGCTAATGACTGACAGCTAAGGACAAGCAAGGCTCAGGACTTTCTCCTCACCCAGGGTTTCTCAGATGTGACAGTCCAGCAGCTTGTGCTGCCCAGCTTCATGCATGTTGAACAGCAACGTTAGGCAGAACTTTTACATTTAGAATACGAACAACTATGACTTATTCCTGTCAGTCTCCATAAGTGACTGTGACCATTCTCGCTGTATACACCTCACAAAAGTTTCCATGTGCCAACAGCCTTCCCGGCAGGAGGCAAGTCAGGGGTGTCTTCCCTTCTTCAGCCCCCAACATGGCCCATCCACAGAAGATGACAGAAAGTACGACTGTGCCACTGCACCGCATCGCACTCGCTCCTGCGAAGCTTTGAGGCTCAGACAGGAGCACTATAGGAGTACCCTCGTATCAAAACCTGGTGCTTTTAGTCACCAGTCTTCCTTTTCTGTTAAACCTTGAGCAGGACCCAAATATTAATAGTGGATGCTAATGTTGAAGGAGCAACCTGTCATATCAGGGACGCAAGGAGGGAAACAACTAGGTTTACTGAAGTTGTGCACAAATAAATCGATGCTGTCAGCTCAGCTGAATGCATGTTTCTTTGAAACTTCTTATCCCAAAACGTGTAAAGGGTTTTTAGCTGCTGAGCTGAAAGAGAGCTGGATTGCCGTGGTGGTTGATGTGATCTCCTAGCTTGGATGCTCACTTGAACTCAGGTTTTCTGGACACTGTTGCGGGGACGCTATCAGTGACTCCACGGAACTGCATCTTTGTTAGCCACACTCTCGCCCTAATTTTATCTGCCTTGTTTTGGGCTGTTTTCTTAAGATACGTATGATCTCCAGATCAAATGAGTATGGTCTAAACATAATGGCATTTCTGTCATACTCTGTTCTTTCTTGCACACCTTCCCACCCCGTGGAATGCTATGCAAGGCCCAGCTGATGCCCACCTCAGCAGGGGACCAGCGGGCGCAGGGGAGGCAGGGGCTGGGGTGAACCTCCAGCTTTGCAGCTCCTGAGTGCCACAGCCAGGCTGAAGAGGACTATGTTATCTGCTTTTTCTCTGATCTCAGACGGGCGTTGTGAGGCTTGCCGAGCTAATGTTTGCAAATTGCTCTGCAACTCTCCAATGAATTGCACACTAGGAATGCTAAGCACCGCTCCTCGTGAATTGTTTTTAAGGTGAAGCATTTGTGATTAATTGTTTCTACACAGAGAGCTCACATCCTGTCAAAAAATGGCTATTAGGCACCCTTTCACTAAACATCAACTGGAACTGCTATTTGTTCAATTCTTTGGTGAAAAACACCCGTGCTTGGTGGAATTAGACATCTTCAGGTTCACCAGGATGAACCTGAGCATTGGGCTAAATACTGAAGCCACTAGGCTGGGGTGCACAGAAGCAGCGCTCATATTTCAGCTCTGCAGCATTCCTTGATACCGAGACACTTTATTTTATTTTTTAATCTGTGTTTTCAGAGAGTTCATGGAGCACAGGTGGCATCAAGACAAGATTTTCAGAGGAAGACAACCCAAGTTAAACACCATATTCCCCGGCAGGGCATTGCTCAAAGCTTGCCAGGAGAAGACGATCAACTTGATCGCTCCTCTCAGCTGACCAAGGGCCACGGATGCTACGAACCCATCCCTACCGCAGAGAGACCAGGGCCAGGCGCTTTCTCTGCGAGCCCTGCGCTCCCAAAATTGCTGCAACGCGGCAAGAAGCGAGGAGCTGGATCCGAGCTCCGTTTGGTCATGTCTCAAACTTTGTTGCGACCAACAGAATGAGAATGCACGCCTTTCTAAATCTGCTTCTCGGTGCTGTATTTTGCATGATATGCACAAATTGTAGTCTTTTTCAATAAATACAGTCTTGCAGAATAGCTTTCCGAAACATGCTAAGCTGCTGCAAAAATACTGATAGGGAGAAAAATGCAGTCTTTGTGATGTTCCTTTGCTCTGATTTTACACATTGCTAGAAAGGGGACCGCTACCATCTTAATTAAAATGTATTACCTACCACCAGACTTCACTATTTTAAGACAAAATTTACATCTTTTATTAACTCCCCTCACCTATACGCTTAGCTCAGGATGCCTCTCAACGCCCATCTGCCATCCGCGTACAGTAAGTCACTTGATATTCCACCCACCAATTTTTCCTAACAACCACTGTGCAATTAAACTCCACACGTTCTGTTGCGAGGTAAATTAGGCACACCTGCGGCCAGACTTCATTTGAACTGCATCAGAAAAGGACCTAACAAGGTGAGAGCGTACCACAAAGTTATAGGCCTGTCAAGCAATTAGGTTCTCACTTCTGGGACATCCGCACAGTGCAATTATGCTACACATTACAACCTGGCTAATCTTCTGAACAAATGTCATGTCTCGGAGAAGCTAGTAAAAGCAGTTCATCTGCAAATGCGTCTGCTCTTAAGCCTCCACCTTATGCACATAACAACCTAGGGGAGACTTTTTTGTGATATGAAAGATGGTTTTTTTCCATAGAAGATTTTTTAAACCCTGCAAGTGCCTTTTCATCCTTTTCACCTCTTCTTAACCTTTTTGAGAGGAGGTGTTGTAGCAAATAGACCAGAAAGACTTTTGTACTTGAATTTCAACACTAAGCAAGAAAATACTTGGTATTATAAGCACAGCCAGCGGCTTTAGTTTGGTCCGATTCGAATATTGTTTGGCCAAAGGAATATTTGAGGCAGAAAACCACCTATGACATCCTAGAAACATCATTAGTAAAGCGCATTTCCACCAGACCCCAAACAGAAGCGTCATTCATGCAAATAAACCTCAGCAGGACGTAAAGGTTTAATTCATCTTATCTCAGGTACTGCGTAGGAGTGTACAACACCCGAAACCAAAATCTGCGCTGACGAGAGGTGAGACCTCTGGTAAGGATGTCAGTCGAAACCTGCAGTGACAAGCAGCCTCCATCCCTTTATCAGATAAGATCTTCCCAACGTCCAATGCAAACCAGAGCCCAGACAACCGCATCAGCCCTGCCAGCACCATTTTGCTCTACTCCAATAATTGTTTCATTTTCATCTTCATCAGTATTTCGGGTGTGCGGTTAATGCGTTCAGTTAAGCCTACAGATGAGACCTTGCTATACTACAAACTACAGAATTGTTAAGATATGACAAGCCTGCTCTACTTCCATGAGTGAAAAATCTTGGATTTGGATCATTATCTGCGATTCCGAAGTTCTCTGGAAGAGAAGCTGTCCGCAGGGGCACGACACTCTTTCAGGGTGGAGGCAGGAGAGGGCAGGGGAAGAGGAGACATTTGAAGTCAAATGGTAGTTCTCATCCTTTACTCTATTACCCTTTAATTGGCTTTTTCCTAAGAAATATCTGACAACCACTTTGCATATCTCTTTTCTAGAGCCTAGTAAACAAAGGATTTAATACTCTTGTTATGAAAGGAAAAATCTTTCCTCTGTCAGAAAATCTTTGGCTTTAGAACCAATAAACTCTTTATTACTGCTAAACTTGGATTTGCTGCTCGATCGCAAAGAGGCGATAAAAACTCTAACCTGTCATTAGTGCATTATGCTTAATTGTGTACAGTATGTTTCCAGTTGCATCTGTTGGCCCATTATCAAAATGACCATTATGTACACTAATTCCCTGACCCTGTCTTTATTTCCCTAAAGAGTCATAATCTTTCACAGTAGGTATCAGAGTAAATCAAGCTTGAAATATGGGCTTTATTTACTTGTTTCTCCCAGGCAGAGTGGAAGACTGTAGCTAAAGACAAACTGCTGTAGATAAGTAGCAACTACGTTGTAATATTCTACTTGGAGAAAGGGTGGAAGCTGCTGGGCAACCCCTGGAAGACTAAAAGACATCACCCCGTTTCCTTTTCAGTTTGGTTCTGTATAGTTATCAGAGGCAGCATCAGGATAACGCAACATTTCTCTCGGGTTTGTGGTTCAACTTCAAGAGAAATAAAACAGCAAAGCCATTAAGACCACAGGCCTT